TCTCTTCTCTTCTCTTCTCTTCTCTTCTCTTCTCTTCTCTTCTCTTCTCTTCTCTTCTCTTCTCTTCTCTTCTCTTCTCTTCTCTCCAATACTCCACTCGTCTGGCCCGATACTGTTCTCAACTGGAGAGGATCTGCCAATGCCTGAGACGTAGTGCATTGTGCAGACCACCCATTCATCAGGGCCTGTGACAGTGTGTCAAGCACACAAGTACAGGAGGCAGCCAGTGTGTGCGCTACGTCCGTGATCAGGAACATGTGAGAGAGAAACACAGGGCGAGGCAACCATTCAGTACATACGACACAAGAAAAGTCTAACTAATCTTGTCAAGATCCTCCTTTGTCCGCCTTTACTGCCACTTCTCTATTTCTTTACTCTCCGTGTGTCAAGGATTGTGTGCAAGTCATTTTGCTACCAAGGGTACTGGTTTTTCAACAACGGTGCTAATGGGTTGTAACGGTGTTATCACACACTCCCTGGTGAGTGCCAGGTCTTTGCTTGTGGTGTCAAGTGTTCTTGGTTTGAATAAGAAAACAGTACCCTACTGAGACATTTGGCACCACTCATAAACTGTTCAGATTGGCCTGCGGCTATTCAGCTAACATCTTTCAGTGTATCTGACTCCGTTGGCATGCATTACAGTGAAAAGAGGACAGAGCAGGGCATGAAAAGGGTTGTCGTTTTGGTGCCGTGGTGCCCCCTGTGCCTCAATGTGCCCCTGATGAGGCAAGCATGGTGGAGCGGTGGTGGGGAGGGGGGGCCTTGGCAGCATAAAGACCCATTGTGGAGTCAGTGGAGTGGGGCACAGCCCTGCCGTGGGGACCCCCAAAGCCTGGAGGGGGAACAAAGACCCTCCTATGAGGCTGCATGGGAAAGACTTGGACATCAGTGCCATTACTACTGCCACTGCCTGGACCATGCCTGGGAAAGCTGCGTGAAGAGATGAGAGAAGAGAAGACTAGTGACAAGCAGAGATGTGAAAAGATTAGGAAAAAGTGTGCAGCAAAGAGCAAGTTCCAGAAATCTTCCAATGTGTCGTGGTGTTAGCCCATGTCATAGTCTCACTTCCTCTGTGGTAGACCCACAAAGCCTCTGAGGACTCGGTGGGTTTTCCCCACACGCAGCACATAGACTCAAAAACACACACAGACACACATTAATCCACACGGGATCCATATGCTAGTCAACAGCTGGAGGGGTTTTCATTTAGACACAATCATAATGTGCTCAGGCAAAGAGAAACTCACACACTCTCTCTCTCTCTCACACACACACACACTTGTATGTTATATTACTTCAAAGCACATCAAAGGCATTAGGGATTGAAATTCCCCTCCTCTCTTTATTCAGCATCTGATGACAGAGTGGCAAGCGGGGGGCAAGCAGTTGTACTTACAACTAAAAGTGCGTGTTGGCATGTGTTCAAACATCTCTGAACATTTACACCATCACATGTGCGAATACTTTGCACCATCTTTTCCGGAAAGATAAGATCAACCAAAATTACCACATTCTTTATTTAGATTAGCTCTGTTGTCGCGTTGCCACAAAGTCGAACGCTTCCTGTCCCTCTCTCCTCACTTTAATTGTGTTAATTGCCATTCTTGTTGTCTCTTGCCTTTCTGATAAAACTTTTGACACAGAGACAGTGTGTGCATGTCTTGAAATGATGCCGCAGGCTATCGTCACTTTTTGATACTTTGAGATAGTGTGTGTTTGTTCTGAAAATGATGCTGCAGGCTACAACAATGTGATAGTTTGAGATAGTGAGCATGTTTTGAAAATACGCTGTAACCTCTATTAGGCATCATAAAGATCTTAATTAGCCTGTTGACTGAAGACACATGATAAGGTAACCTCAATGAGTGGATCATTAGACAATAAGCTATTGTTACATTTCTCCAAGTCATAACCAGACCCAAGTGGTTGGGCTTAGACAGCAAATTAAGGCGTAATAATAAACTCAATTTAGCAATATTTCCAAATCGTAATGATTCATCCCTGGAATAAGCGCCCAGTTTGTGACGCAAGCCCCATCGGAGGGCAACAAAGATCTTTGATGTCGTCGTGGGGCAACACAGCGGATAGATGTTGGCATCCGCTTCAGCAGCTCGTAGGCAGAGCACCGTAGTTAAAGCTACAAAAGACAAGTGCTGTGTCGTGGTTGGTTTGCATGTAGGTTAATAAGAGGAGAATGAACTTCTTCATGGTGGACTTGTTGCACTTGATTAAATGCTGCGAATGAGGAAGAAGCAGCGACTCGATTCGAACCTGATTGGATAATGTAAACAAGTAAAAGAAACAAAGCAGTAAATCAAGCAGTTATCGTGTTTGAATTTAGTCTAATACTGTATACAATGTGTTCGTGGATGATTTAGATGAACTCTGGCACCTCATCAGCATTTTGTAAGCCACAAACTCATATGGGATTCACTTCTATCGAGCTGATTTACACACTCTATACAGGCAGAGTATGCGTTCTGTAGAGAGGCCAGCAGTCAGATATTATAATGCTTATTGAACAGCTCACTAACACCTCTCTCTGTATTGACTTGCACAAAGAGAAACATTCATTTCAACCCTGAGATCAAACCCCGCAATTGCACCACAACCTGGTAAAACTGTATGTAAAGCTGATTTGTTCATGGTGACCGACTGCTGTGGATGAAATCTTAAAATCAGTGGGTGTGTGCACATATTACTGTTGTGCATGTGTGTGTGTGTCCTTCGGTGAAAGTGGAGAATTAATAAGTCATCATCATACTTTGGGGATGATTCCAAAGTTTTGGTATGAGCTCAAGAGATAGTCCACAGACAGTACGGCGGTGCGAGTGCTTCTGAATGCCTCGCATTTTTATAAGGTTATGACAATCTCATTTGTTTATCATTTTGACATCTGGAATCCATTCTGTTGTTGCAGGGAGAAACGGGGAGAGCGCTGCGCCGGGCAAAGCCTTCACCCCTCATACGCTCACTCACTTTCTCTAAAATCTAGTCACAGTCGTGTTTTTTTTTTTTTCTTCCTCGCCTTCTCCGTGTCGGTCTCTTGGGTCAGGGAAGCTTAGTTCAAAAAGTGCAAGTGAATTGAATAATGAAACTCTAGCAGAGGGGACAATAAATTAATTAATAAGTGCAGAGGCAGGACGTTCCCTGATCTCAGCCTGCATGTGCTGCATACATGTGCCTAAAGGCTCGTGTCGGAGCAGCAGAACGTAACAACTCCAGAGTCTGTTAGGTATGTGAATTAAAAACAAAAATGTCGACATAAAACAGGCATGATGAAACCGGGAGTCATAAGAACAGTTGACATCAGAGAAACGTTTCAGAAATATTGGCCTCTTCTGTTTTTTTTTTTTCCACCTACCCTTTCCCCTCTGCCGTTTGCATTTGATGTCTGCGACTAACTTCTTAGTCCTTCCTCTGTCCCTCCCTCAATTCCCCTCTTCTGTTTGCCCCCTTCGCTGTGATTCAGTGGCCCGTTCCTTTCCCATAACCCCGGGCTGCTGCAGAGGACCTCAGTATGACCTGCTCCACATTGCTTTGACTCTTCTCTCTTTGGAGCTGCATCTTTGTGCTGTGTGCGCGAGTGAGAGAAACAACAGCGATCATATTTCAGTATCTCTCGAGTTATTTATTCTCTCTGCAGAAATGCTTGGATTGTAAGTTCGGCTTCATGGATTCTCTAAACAGGGGAAAAAGTGTGACTACATGCTTTGTATAGATGGCGTGTAAGCAAATGTAATTCTGTTGGCCTCACTGTCAAATTACTCACCAATGTGGGACCTCAGGTTTTGGGTTTTATGGCGTGCCTCGTGCACATTGTATGTT